GCCGATCCACGTTCAACAGGTAAAGATGAACCATATGCAAGAGAAAATTTACGTGGAAGAGATATACTCTATAATGTATTAGCACCACAAAAATGTTTTGATCCATTTCAACGAATTGGTTTTGATCAATTTCTTGTTAGTATGCGTTTTCTAATTCAACATTCAGCTTTTACAATTGGTCATACAGATTCAAATGTTTTTCGATTCTTTCGAGAAGTTGTTTACGCTCAAAGACAACATCAATCTGGTGTTCAATCATATACCTATGTTAGAAATGCTCCAGATTCTTTCAGTAAAATCCCTTAAACAACAACAGCAGCGAGAAATAAGCCTTAAATATTTTGTTAACTTAGATTATTTTTTTGTTTGTGTTTCTTTGTGAAAAACATCAATTTTTGATGTTAAAGATGATAATTTGTGATATTTTTTGTGATTAAATTAAATATTAAATAAATAATAATGAACTTATTATTAAAAGTTTTCATTGATAATGTCTTAGCAAAGGAAATAAAAATGATTTCGAATTTTATATCAATTCTTATTTATTGATACGAAATCAATAAGATTTCTTGAATATTATAATGCTTTGAGATATATTAGATAGTGTGAGTATATATGATCTATTATAATAATCCGTATTTTGACGAATTTGCAGTATTGATAAGAACAACTTTTATATATATTCCTTATGCAAATATCTGACATTGATAAGAGATTATAAAATTGTAGGACACTTTACTTCGATCTTTTCTTTCATTGTTGTTATTGATCGAATCGAGAATGGAGGTAAGTAGAAAGATTATTGAATATTTTGATTAGATTTAGTTTTCTATTTAGACAGGATTTTTTATTATTTTTATCAATTTATATGTTATTGCATATAAGATATATGCTATTGAAAATTCCAATTTTTCAAGTACATGGAACAATTTTACACAAGATTCTCAATTATTACATGCAACTTATTCTATTACTATTATTGATAATTCGACTGGAAATGTTACATTTTCATTTAATAAAGATATCGGTCTTGCACCTGCATCTACGATGAAAACTGTAACAGGTGCAGCTGCTTTTCATTATTTAGGTACAGACTATCGATACAAAACATTATTACAATATTCTGGTAAGGTTAATCCATTTGGTATTCTTAATGGATATATTTATATTGTCGGTAAGTGATCATAGTTGTTTTGATGAATATTTTCTAGAGACTAATACGTATGTATGTATGCATGAGTAGGAAGTGGTGATCCAAGTTTAGGTAGTTGGCGATGGAATGAAACAAAAGGTGATATAATAATGCAACATTGGATAAGTTTAATAAATGGAAAAGGTATAAAACAATGCCGAGGTATAATACTAGATTTAAGTGTATGGCCAGATCAAACACAGACAGTACCTGATGGATATCCATGGGGAGGATTAGGGTAAATAAATGATTGTAACTTTTTCTTTTGGCACTAAAAAGAATTTATTTCAGAAATTATTATGCAACCGGTAGCAGTGCATTAAATTGGCGTGAAAATCAATTTCGTATCTTTCTTTTACCAGGTTCGACTGTTGGAAGTCCTGTAACAGTTGCTGGATTCGAAAACTTACCTCAATTAATTACATTTACTAATGAACTCGTTACTGGTCCTCCAGGAAGTGGTGATCTTGCGGATGTATATTTAGCTCCTGATAGTACTCATGGTTATTTACGTGGTTCTTTAGGTATAGATTCACCAAAAGATTTCTCAATTGGTGCTGCTACACCTAATTCAGCAATTCATATTGCTGATGAACTTCGTCAACGTATGAATTGGTCAAAATCAATGCCCATCAAAATTATTTATCAACAGGATGTTAACACTACTGCAAATCGAATAACACTTGATACATATCAATCACCACCAATGAGTGATATTGTCTATTGGTTCGAACAAGATAGTATCAATATGTATGGTGAAGTACTTATAAAAACAATTGCTCAAATAACTAATTCAAGTACTAATCGAGTATTACCACTCTATTGCTATAATGAACATGGTATTGAACAAACAGCAGTAGCAACTAGAGATGGTTCAGGTTTATCACCTCAAAATCGTATAACAACATCGGCTATTGCACGTGTACTATATAATATTCAACAACGAGCATCATGGTTTCCATCATTCGAACGTGCACTACCAATAGCGAATGGAATTCGAATGAAAGGTGGTTTTATTAGCAATGTCTTATCTTATTCTGGTTACGTTAATGAACAAGTATTTTCAATTATAACAAATAATTATAATGGAGTAACATCAGTTATGCGACAAAAAATATGGAATTTGCTTAATACACTCAAATAAAATGATATCAACTAAATTAAATGAATATAAACAAGATTTTTCTTTCTCTATAACATTTACATTATGTGTTTTTTGAATTTCTTTTTGAAGAACTATGTCCTCAAAAATAAATTCGACAGTTTGAAGTAGAAAGAATCATATATTTTTATTTTTTTGAAGTTGAAAGAATGTAGTAATGTTTATTCACGTCTAATTTCTTATATCTTTAAAATAGTTTTTAGCATTCAGCTAGTTGAATCATCTAACACATAAATTGCGTTTTTATTTATTTTCATGACATCTGTAACAGTCAATAAAATTCATATTTATTTTGTTTATCTCATTCGACAAAAATCGATTTTCTTTCATTCTTTCTTTAAGATTAAAATACAATTGTTGCTTGCCACATTACTAATATTTTTTTCTTTTTCTTTTTCTTTTTTTTTCCTTAGTTATGAGCAGCGACAAAAGAAAAATGAAATGACAGGAAACAAGAAAAGTTTCATACACAAAAGTGAGTGTTGCATTGCATCAAGAAACACTCAACAACAACTAGTACGCAAAATATACGTCGTATTTTTTTTGACAACATGGCAGGGATTTCAATAAAAAGACGTATAAAAACAAAACATGTAAGAACTTATTTCAAAATATAAACCATTTTTCCATTAAATAACGAATAATCATTTGTATCGTTTTACTTTATCTTATTTAGGTAACATCGGTTAGTGATGATGAAACCCATGCATTAATAGATCAAGAACTTCATCGTTTATGTAAAAGTTCTAAATCGAAATCAAAAAAGGATAAAAAGAAATCCGATAAACTTTCTCTTCCCACTCAAAGTCTCAATCCTGATAGCGATGTAGGACGAAGTACACGAGAATCATCAGTTGAACGTACAATTATATATAGAACTGAATGTCCATGTTCGACACATTATGATAAACAACTGATTGTACGTAGTTATGATATAACTGTTAATGAATTATTTGATTTACTATTTGGCAACAATGAATTTGTTCAAGCACATAGAAAAGCTCAAAATATTTTTGGTTTGTTAGATTTTAATGAAGTAAACTTTTTCTTGAATATAGATTATAAATGAATTATTTAGATGATACAGCAACTGATTGGATTATGAATGAAGAAACGAAATGTCGTGAACGAACACTTAATTATAAAATACCGTATGATGCTGCATTCGTAGGAAAAGCAACTATTTCAACAACTGAGAAACAAGTAAAACTAAATTTGAAAAATAATTGTATAATAAATAAATTAGAACATAACGGAAGAGAATTGCTATTATTATAAACCTCCCACATGTTTGAAGCCCCGGCAGTTTCTTACGTGCGAGATGACGTGGAGACGCACGTAGTTGAGAATTATTATTGTTTTCTTAAGATTAAAAGCAGAGAAAGATGGATTCTTTTGACGTCAATATTTCATGTTATTATACTGTTAAACAATTGATTTTTTTTTCGCATGACGTACCTTATTTTAAAAATACTGGTCAAATAGAAATTTTCAAAAAAACAGGATATAGAATTATTCCAATCTTTTAACTCAGATAAATGAATTTGCGAAGAAAATATTCTAAAACTATAATTGTAGTTCTTTAAGCAAAGGGAATAACATGTAATTTACTATCTTAATTTTAACCTTTTAAATATAAAAATACTTGCACCCAAAATACGGCCTTTTTAAAGTTCTTTAATTATTAAATAGCTGACGGCCATGAAACAATGTAGAGCACAATTTTCTCTATTGTATGCATCGAATAAAATACTTAACTGATTGTTTTAAATACTATTTCTCTTTTAAAATAGTATTAAATGAAAATAATGACATTTTATTAAGTTCGTCGTCTTCATAAAAAGTACACATACAACTTTTATAGACATCGTTTATATTAAACATACAATTTCAACTAATTAATTTCTTTCTTGATTCTATTCATACATGAGTTGTGGTTATAGTTTGAAAGCCAAGAAGAAAATAAAATGTGTAATGTTTGTATTTTAGACGTTAACTCATGATGTTGCTGGATCTCATTACGTAGTTGATGCTGAAGTATTCAATGATGGTGTTAAATATAGTGATACATTTTCTCTATGTATGCGTTATTGTCTATTACAAACATCTACAAAGACAACTAGTTTACGTGTTACTGCTCTAGTTCGTTTTAATAAATCAGCTACTAGTTTATTCAAACGTTTGTATTTCTTATTTTGTATTTTTTCAAACTTTACTTTTGCTTTTCTTCTTTTTTGATTAGCAATTATTGAACGAAATGCATATTCATCATCACTTGAAGGTTTAAAAAGTTTAAGTGAGTCAATAATATGATTTAGATATATATATATATATCAATAGTAATTATTATGCTTAGATCATCGTCTTAATCTTCATACAAATTTTTCAATGAGTAAAGAATTTTAACCAAATATTAAATTTTTTGATGGTAAATTTGTTTTTTTTATTTAAAGATAAACGAAATTCAGATCAAGGTGAAGTTTCAGTAAATGTTCCAGTAGCAATGAATTCACATGATACACTTGCTAATGGTCCATTACAACAAAAATTAAGTGATGAAAGTAAAAGTATGTTGAATAAAAATTCAAAATAAATCTTTTTCTTTTATTTTATATTTAGAAACAGAACTTCATAAAACTTCAACATCACTTTATCATTCTAATGCATTGATATATTTATTTATTATTATGTATGATAACTAATGTTTAAATTACATATCATGTTAATTTTTTTTTTGCATATTTAGAATTGCTTTTATTCTATGTATTAATTTATACCTTTATATCAAACTTAAACAAATGGATAAGATTGTAGATAAGTTAGCACGATCAATAAAACAGTAAATTTTCTTTTTCTTTCTCTCTTAAATCTATTTCTTCTTTTGATTTTATCTAATAGTGCATCTTCAGCATCCAAACAAAAAAGATGAACATAGGCAACGTTTTCACTTTGATTTTTTTCTTATTAATAATTATTTGTGATAATAAATATAACATAAAACTATTTAATAAAGATTTTTCTATTTTTAACAAACATATAAATTCTTCGTTCTTTTGTTTTCAGCAGAAATATTACAACAGTCGCGATACTAAACAAATTGGGTTAATATTCTTTGTTATAATGCCTATTTTTTGGTTTATTCTATACTATTAAATTATTTACCAGTAGATTCATTAGTTATGTCATAAAATATAACTTGCAGTAGGACAAAGCATATTTCACACTCGAGAAAACTACGATAAATAATATTGTTTGTTTATTAAATTATGATTACTAAAGAACTTAATTTTTTGATAAAGAATTTTGTTGAATGAGTGACTGAATATTTTAAATATATCATGACAATCAACCATGGTATCTATTAAAATAATCATATTTTCTTTTCCTTCTTTCTTCATTGACTTTTATGGAATAAGAATGATTTATGCAATTGTATAAAAGAGAGATCTAATCACGAAATCTACATTAATAAAATAAGAAATTGATTAATTCTAAGAATTTTATAGATATTTATCATAATGATTGAAGAATGACATAATAAACTATGACGTATATATTATATTTTTTTCTACGATAAATACGCGCTTTTATCTTTGAAAGATAAATTTACGATGAACCTTATATTTTATTAGTATTATGTTTGCTAGCTCTCAAATAGGTAATTCTTCTTGTTTGTTTGTTTTTTAAATACTCATTTTATTTTAAATATTAGTAACAACAAAATTAGTTCATCATGGTAAACGAAATGAAATACTTGATGCTCAAGTTGATGATAAAACTGCGAAAGATTTATTAAACACGACTGTTATTATACCACGATCTAAACTTGCTGTTGTTGGTGAAAGTCAGTCAGAAAAACTTGAACGAAAAGTTCATGCACAAGAACGAAAACAAGAAAGACTTGTTGAACAACAAAAACTTGCACAACATATGGAGAATTTAATGGAAAAAGTATTTAAAATGAAATTTCATCAAACAATTTAATCTATTCTAATAAAAATCAAAAGGTAATTCATGAAACACCATTATCAAGAAAAGATGAAGATAAGTTACGTAATAAACTTGCAATTATTACGAATAAAGTAAATAAACAAATACACAAAACAGATCAAAATGTAATTATTATTGATATTTATATTCAAGTTGGTTATTTTTTGTGTTCATATATTTAGTCTGTTGGACAATCATCTCAATTAAATCTACGTTCAAAATCAGAACATCAAGGAGCTTTTCTTCTATGGTCCGATAAAAATATTCGATGATATTTTATATATTATTATTAAATGCGAAATTAAATTTTGTAATCGAAATATTTTCATTTCTTTAAAAAGTTAAAGAATACTTAAATATTATTTTGAACTACTAATTGAGTATTTTATAGGTCCTATCATGTATATAGTCAGTTTTATTTATCAATATCAATGGTTACTTGAAATGGAAATTATAATCGATTTTTCAATTCTGTATTCGGTTAAATAACGAAAATATTTTTAATAATCACGAGTTTATTAGCTTTTAGATTGATAAATAGAGCAACATGTGTTTATCATAAGAATACTATTCTTTATCAAAAGTAGTTCATTAATAAGAAAAGCTTACAGATACTTTAGCGAAGATTAAAAATTAACTTTCAATACAAATGATCATCAATATGCGTTATTCAATGTAGAATCTTTTTGCTTTCTATCGAAATCTGTAGCCAGCTTATGAAGATAATAATACTTTTTCGATTACAATCCACAGTGTCAAACAGTTCCTTTTTAGTTTCATATAAAATAGTTTATGCGAATGAATCAACGATCTTTATATGCGAAAAATACAATCCTATCAGCTCTAGTTAATAGGATTTTTATCAAGCCTCATTGTTCAACATATGCAACATGTTAATACATACTCACGTGAAAATCAGAGGTTTTTGAGTAAAAATAATTCTCTTAATCTTGAATTTTAAGTTGAAAACAGTTCCTTTAGGCAAAACTCAAAGAATTACGTTTTCAACATAGAAGTGTTGACAATTCATTTATATAAACTATTTTTTGATAGAACAGAAAAAAAGAACTCATTAACACAATTGGAGCAGTATGTGATGATTCTCGATAGAAAAAGTTTATTATCTACATAAGCTTCTTATAAGTTCTGATAAAAATTTTCTATAGCGATTGAAGATATTTTCAATGATTTCATATACAGGTACTAATAAAATTTTACATAAAAAATGATCAAAGTTTTTTCAGATAAAAATAGTTGACAGCATTTGAATAGATAATTCGTATTCAATTTCTACATTGAATATTTTGATTTTAATCAACTTTTTTCCTATAGATTTACTCCTTATGCAGATATATACAAATTGTATTTAGAAATAATTGTTCCATCGTTTTTTTTCTTTATTAATTGTTTTGTTTGATGACCTCTTTTTTTATCATTCTGCTCTTCTGAATATAAATCTTTTTCAAATAGAATGTTAATATATTCATTATCATATTCATAGATAGCGAAGCGTGAAGACGGGCAAGGCTCGAGGCACACCTGGTTTCGGCTTTGATTGTCGATCTTCAACAGAAAAGGAGAAAAAACCTATGAGCTTTACCTAGATTCAAGATGTTTTTCACTGTCTCTGATTATGTCAATGAAGAATATATATTGTACTTAAACTCAATTATTCATATAATATATATACGCAAAATACTGCTCTATATTTATAATAAAAATTTATATAAACTTAGAGTAGCTTTATTCGCTTTTTTATTATAAAAGTCTCTCGATATGAATTCATGGCTTGACAAGTTAAACCATATATATATACCTAATGAATGACAAGAGAGAAACATGATAAAGTCCATAGCTATTAACAAATATAATTATTACACAAAAAAAGATTGTTTGAAGTGGTCTTGTTTGATAATTTCATGACTTTATCTAGATTTAAACTGAAGAGAGAATTTCAAACATACCATGTATATTTTTACTTTGTCTACTCTTTTATTACTAAATCTCATTGATTAAAGATAGCAATTGAGTTAATATCAGATGGAAAAAAAATCTATTCATCTGTATTCACCGTCGTCATCTTATAAATAAAATAACATATATGTATAATATTTATGAATAAATTATCATTAATAATCAATTATAGAATGAATTTCCATTGTCTGAAGAATATACTTACTACTCCTGTCAGATAAAAACTACTTCATAAATCTTCATCCGCATATTCTATAAAAAGAACTTGTAAGACTACTTGAAAATATTTTAATAATAACTTCCATTTAAAAAATGTTACATAGAAGATAAATGTCAATAGTATTACAATTGACATTTACTTTTTCTTCATTATTTAATATATTAATTCTTATAGTAAATAAACACTTTAATTACGCTACTAAAAAAAACTACATTAGAAATATGAAATAATCTTTGTAGTGCTCATGTGCATGAAAAAAATGTTTCAAATTAATTAAATAGATAATTACTGATGTGCTTTCATTTTTATTTTGGTTTGAATTTGATGTACTTCAAAAATTTCAAAGATGACCGACATTTTTAATGATTTGAATGTTATGCTCATTATGTAATTAATTTTTCTCGCGTCATAGATGTAAAAATTTTTGTTGTTAAATTATTATAGAACTTTAAACAATTATATGTGTGTCGGAAAAAATATAGAATTATTTTTTCTTTTAGATAAACGTGGATAAAAAGGGTAGAACTGAAGAAAATACTTGAGACAAGGGTTAAATAATCTGGTGAAGAAGGAGATAGAATAATAACTTCTTCTATCTACATAATATAAAATAACCTGTGTGTTTTTTCTTTGAATATTTTATAGAGATAACGTCATTTTAAGTTATTCTTGAGTTTTAATATATAATATCTTTTATTTCATCGTAAAAAAAATAATAATTATTGATTCCGTATTTGTACAAAGTAAGTTTCCTATATTACACAAGTAACGCACGTCCGAGGACTCGCTTAGCTCTTTCTCATAAAAATGCATCCTCTTCACATTTACTGGAAAAACAATTGAAAATCTTGTTCTTCTCTGTTGTTTCTTACTCTTAGCACATACTCGCATTCTACTCGATGGTAAACGCAGGTTAAAATATATTTAAGCTGTTGGCATTAGTGACTTGTCGACGTAGCCTTTAATGAATAACTAAGATGTTAGTAATCTTATACGCAAGTAAGGCAGTAGTGTATGATCACCACACTCTACACTACAAGCAGCGAAATATTTGAATACCCATAAAATTGCATTACCCAAAAATTCGGTTTCTATCAGTCCATGTCACTTCTCCCATTTGACACCCCTCCTCCCTTCAATAGTCTGAGCAAATGAGGCGCACATTTGAATTCCCAGCATCAAAATACCTCAAGAAATATCTTTTCCGAAAAGTCGGTCTTCGATGTTTTTTTAACCCTGTGGACACACAATCAAGCAAGAAATCAGATGATTTATGTTTACTGGACCCTTCTCTACGAGAAAGAGAATATAAACTAGTACAATATATATCTCTTGTTTATAATCATCATTGACAACAATATTGAGGATAATATTTAATTTATTTGCTGTCAGTTTCGTTTCTCATCAATATAGAATAGATTACTATTGAAAAGAATTCGAGATATTACTATTCATATACTTGATCTAATATAAACTAATCACGAAAATAGATTTCTTTTTCTTTTCCTATCAACTTATTTTCATATTGATAGTTGAAGTGATAAATTAAGTATGCATATTAATATAAGATGATAATGTGTAAGAATCTATGACTATAAATCATCATTTTATAGTTGTAATACTTTTGTTCTATTTGTGATTTATGAGATTTGATCAATATAAATAATGATAAGAATTTGTTTGTTTATAACATTTCTTTTTTTTGCTTCCGACATACTTTCTAATTGTGGAATCAAATTCTGTTAGAGTAAACATTAATCATACTATCGATAAGTGCTTACTATAGGAAGATTTATGGAATAAGATCTTTGGTTAGTATTCATTGTTACTTTTTATCGTTATAGAAATAGGAAAATATCTCAATAATCTAATAAAAAATACTATTTTCTATACGGATATAGTAATCCAGTTACGCAAAACTATGGGAAAAAGTGTTCATTGTACTATATAACCTTTTCGTTTATATAAAATTTTTGATCAAAAGTCAAGATTATCACATATTTTATTAAGAAAAGGAAACAACTGTCAGGCACATTATAACTTCACAAATAGAACATCATCATCATCATCACTATCAGGATTTTCGATGCATGAGAAACAAGAAAAAAGAGAAACATAAATGATTGATGGATTGATTAATGAGAAAGTTTATTATCGTTCAAGTCAGATCTGTATTCTTCCTTTCTTGTGGTTTTTATCGTAATAATAGAGAAAATCAAACATAGTTAAGATTCCTATCAATAAAAACGAATCATTCATTTTGCGAGTAGACATCATTTTGTTTTAATATGAGTAATTTTTCGGCTTAATGTTCAATTTCTATTCAAACAATAGTAATGAGAAATGTAACAAATAAATTTCCTTTTCCTTTTTTTGTTTTCTCTAATATACTTAGATGGCATCATGTCTATTACAACAATAACAATGATTTATGATCGATTAGTGGAGTGTTAGCAACAGCTTGTATTGGCTTTTTCTGATTATCGATGTCAAGAAAATAGAATGTTATTATGTTTACATGTAAATACATATTTTTATAACTTACTGATTTTATCTTGACAAATCAACAATAATGATAACTACAACACCTTCTGTACCCAATCTTTCTTCGTCAAATATCGATATTCGTACACAATTATTTTCATTATTTCTTCCGTCTGAGATTTACGATAATACAATAGATGGAAACCAGTTTTATAATGGTATCAATGTCACATTCAATGAGTACCCATTGTAAGTATAGTTTCATTCTAAATTATATTCATAAGAGAACAAAGATCAATAAAATATGATCTCAGCGCTTGTTTGTTTAAATCCAGATTATTCTAATGTATCAATCTATGAACATTTTAATAGATCGACTCATCCACGGAAGTAGGTAATTCCGTCATCGTTGCAGACAACTTTGTAGTGCTCCATGTTAAAACGCATAACTCTTTGTCTAAAATCGCAACTGTATTCAATTCTTGATACTAAGTCATTTATGCGTTATAAAACAAATAAAGCGTGACCGAATCACGTTTTACCTGGACAGGCCCAGATGCGTTTAGGAAAGAATGTACAAGTTATAATTGCATGACTAATTTTCTAATGTATACTTATAGACAGCTTGTTATCTGTTGTTTTTTCTACTAACGCATGTAATGTATTATTTTAGGCCTGTGTTCTTTCAACATTATTGTTACATTTATAAAAGTAGTAGTAATGAGAAAAGACGTTCAATAAACATCCGATGAGTAACGATAATTTCATTAAAAACTATTTTACTATTACAATTGCAAATAAATTAATGTATAGTTTTTTGATCTACAAATGTACTTTGGAATTGAGCAATCAGAATTTTGTTATTTCTATTTCGTCGTAAGAAAAAACATTTGAATATAAAATAATTATAAAAATAGACTATATCTATTTATTATTTATGTATCTATATAAATATGCAATCTTAAAAGAAAACGATAATAAAAACTCAATTTGCATTCTTTTTTTCTTCCAAAGTTGCTATTAAAGTAATATAAATATTTGAAGATGAAAGGGTAGAAAGAGAATAAATAAATATATCATACCCACTATTTCAATCAATTATGCTATTTTCTTCTTAAGTTTTTACGAGAATAGAAATATATCATGAGATAGTATCGTATATTATTTTCTCATAGAAATTAGAGCATTTTCTTTCTAAACTGTCAATAGGTTCAAAAAGAATAGTGTATTGGAATTTGGTACAAAAGAAATATATGTAATTATAAATTTATTTACACTTTTATTCTGTTTTATCTTTTAAATGGAATACAATGAGTAAAACTTATATAAGCTTTGTTCTAGGTAAAATGTATTGACATAGAATTAATAAACCATGTGAAACAAGTTTTAATTTATTATATTTCAATTAATTTACTTTAAATAATACATTAAAATAGCATGAAAATGTTATGGGCGTCTGTAAACAATTAATAGCAAATTTTGCGGAGGTGGAATAATTTTCTAACTCATTACTTGATTTTTTTAGGTGCTGTGTTTTTGTATAATAATGAGACATACTTAATTAGACCAGGCATATAGAAATAATTATTATTTATTTTTAATGTCTCTACGAAAATTATAATTATAAAAGACATTAAAATACGCATATGTAAGCTCATAATTTTAAATTGAATAAATTCATGTTAATAATCAAAAACCACAGGTATTAGAGAAGTTTCTATACATTACATTTAAATAAATAAAGAATAGAATTGTTTATTGAACAACTTTCTCTTTTAAATGTTAATGATTACTTTATTTTTGTATATGTTAGGTACATTCCTGATGAAATGAATGAAAATAATAATACATTCATCAATGATTTTATAAATGCTCCATCAATGGCTCATATTATTTTTCTTGCTATGGCTATGTTTAGTCTTTCGTTGGTTACTGTTCTTGGCAATGCAATTGTTATTTATGCATTACGAACTAATCGCAACTTACGAACGGTAATCATTATTGTTTTTTTTTCCTAAAAGAGTAATAGAATTTAATTAGATAATGTTAACCGATTGGCTACGGGTGTATCATATAAGATACTTGATTATTAGCGATGATACTTGTGCAAATTGTAAACACGCTCGGAAACGTTCTACGTTTTTCTATTTGTATTTCTCACGTAATGTTTTTTTACGTATCGATCAATCTAATATGCAAATGAGCTACTCTGAATCAGTTAGAAAATCTATTAAATAATTTCTTTCAGTTACTAAATATAACAATATTCAATGCATTTATATTGTCAAAAAATGACGCCAAACCATGCGATACAATTAGTTGATTTTCTCTTAGAAACAATTCGAGATGTTATCCAGAAGTATGTTAATCAAAAAGGAGCAACGAGGGATAGACTTTCGTCAGTAACTATACTACTTAGATTAACTGCAAGACATTGTCACTCTTCAATTCCAGCTACAGACATACATTTAATATCTACCAGAAAATAGGTCATCTGTAGCAAGAACGTGAGACGTCAGAGAAGAATAGGTGTATTTTTAGGTTATCAGTGCGCACAGACATGGATGTAGGCCTATGCTTCGATGATTGTTATAAAGATTTCTATATTTTACAAAACTTTTAAGAATAAATAAAAAGAATAAGTATTTCAACATTTGAAACGTTTTGCATAAAGTTCTATCGGAAAAACTAAGCTGGTAGCCAACCGGTTAATCAATTATTCGATTAAGACCAAAAAAAGCTAAATTTTTAATTTTCTTTAAACCGAAATGTCATAACATGTCAATAAGCCTTTTCAAAAATACATGTGAGATTATGTATATACAGGGGTCACTATGACTTGTTGTTTTCATCGTTAATATTTCCTGTATTGTTTCAGTCAAATTAATTGACGCATATTCCTATGGGAAAATAGAATATATCAAATAATAGAAATCTTTATAAGTGTGAAAAAAGAGAAACCACTATAAAAAACAAAATACTACTTCATTAATAGGTGGTAAATTAAGAGAAAAATACAAGAATTTTCTTTTTGAAAAAGTGTTTATTGAATAATTTATATTAGAATCAATGATTTGTAAGAATGAAATCTATCTTAAATTGTTCAAATATTCAATTGATGGAGAAGTAAAATCTTCCCAATAAGTGATTAGTAATCAGAATAGTTGCCTCATAATGTACGCAATTTATCGGATGAATAGACTGTTTAAAAAAATCGTATATTGAACAAATCTTACATATTTTTATGTTAAAGAGTCCGAAAATAATCTTCTCAATAACGTACATTATTTTTTATTAGGCTTTTAACTTTTGTTAGAAATATAGCAGTCGTACTCTTTAATTTGTATCTAAAAAAAAATAATAAGAAGATTATCTTATTATATATTACTATCGAAAGTTTCCTTACACAATAAATATGTTGCAGCGCAAAAAGTAAGATTAATTATAAAGTAGTTTTTCTCGTTTTAATTTTACAAAATTCTATAAGAGTAACTAATCTTCTTCTTTTTCAAAACAAAAAAATTATTCAAAAAAAAAGTAAATTGCGACATTATTTTGTTTATAATATATTTAAGCCTAAAATGCGTGATTTATTTAATTAGAAATTAATATTTCGATAAAAATAATGTTCATAAAGACAATTTGGTCTTCTGTATATTTTTATTCTCTAATTTCTGCAGCTTTATTCATATAACAGATACTTGTATGAATACAAATCAAATTTTTCGCGTGTTTTGTCTATGTAGAAGATATGAATGATATTTTGATAAATCTAATTATCAATGAATTTAATCAGGGTATGAGTTCCTTCTATGCCCACACTCTCAAGATGATTGATCGAGAAAATTTCTGAATGATCACTTAATTGTAAGGATATTTTACTAATCAATAATTATCGATTATATACTCCAAAGAAAATTGATTAAAAGGTATACAAAAGAAAAATAGTAGCCATATAAGAATGTCTAGAAATCTGTCTACTCGTTAATAATCTTGAAAAATATAATTCAAACCAACCTAATAATTTTATATTTACTCTAAAATTATATTATATCATTTTATATAATAATTTTTTTTTTGAAAATTTTACAATTGACATCGAGTGTTGCCGAGTTACAGAAACATTATAATTCAAAAATGAAAAAAATTATATTTTCTTTCCCAAATTTTATATAGAAATAGCAAAACAAAATTTATTGATGAGCGATATTATCATATAGAAAGTAATTTCAACGTTATTTTGTCTTCTCTATCATTGCTTTCTCTTACTTTTTTCCTATAGTTCTCTTTCTTCTATTATTCTCATTATTTTTCTCGTTCAACAAACAAGACAAGTTTGTGCTCATTCTCTCGTTTTATTCTCTTTCTCTCTAAATACTTTTGATGACACTGACATAAAAGGAACAATGTCATCATCAGATTGCAGTACTTATTCAATAGACAAACGGAAATGAGTTAGTTTAAATTATTTCATCTTTGGCTATTTTATCTATTTTTATCCATGAACGAGACGAACGAATCATCTCCATCGACTGAAGATCAACATCAGAATATATATTCTGATGTTAATTCAGATACTCTTCTACTTACTATTGAGAGTATGATAGAAGCTGGTCTAAACAATGTAACAAATGATAGTACAAGTCATTTGACATATGATTTTGCATTGACATCATTAACATACACAATTATTTTTGGTTTTGTTTGCGCTCTTCTTTGTTTTTTAACAATAGTGGGTAATCTACTTGTACTTATTACTTTTCGTCGTATGCGAACAGTAAGTATTAGGAAAAATTTCATGTCATACAACTAATTAGCAGAATATATAGATATACCTTGATATGTTTTAGAGTTGAAAAAGAAAAACAAAGGATTTAGTTAATGAGATTCAGACTATTGATTTATGAATACTAGATATTATTCGATAATCAAATTAATCTAATGCTATTATGTTAAAAATAGTTTTTAGTTATTTTGATATTAAAATAATAACAATCTTATTTAAATATATCAAAATAATAATTCTATACATTTTTTGTTTAGGTTGGAAATTTATTTATTTTGAGTCTTGCTACTGCTGATCTTATAGTTGGTTGTTTTGTTATGCCAATTGCTGGTATATATGCTATTACAGAAAAATGGAATATGAGTAAGATTTTTCTTTGAAAAAGATATATTTATCTATTATGTTAGACATGAAAAGATTCATATGAAAGTGAATTAAATAATATAGTAAAAGAGAAACCTTTCTAAAAGTACGAATCATTTGCACTGGCTTCTTAAATACAAAGAAAAGAAGATGAATGAGTTATTAATAATTTATTATCAAGGGTAAACTAATAATATGGTATAATTTATAAGTTATTACTTTAATTAATGATATGCGTTAAGCAATACATGATATATATATATCTATACAGTAGATATTGAGATATTTTTTCCCTAGAATGTAACATATTAAAGAATAAAATAAAGTAGAACGTGTCAGGTACACTCCTAAAAGTCTCTTGCCGAAACATGAATTCTGTTTTTGGCCACATCTGTCATTTGTAGATCATGAATAAGAAGAAAAGAAATCGTCATAATGTAATGACCTTCGATTAGATTCTATAAATATCTAAATAGAACGTAAACAAGTTAAATAGATTGTAAATGACTATATGAATTATTAAAATAAAGTCTTTTTATTTGTGTTTAGGTCTTATTCTTTGTCAAATTTGGATATCAGTTGATTTTATCGCATCAACAGCATCTATATTTAATCTATTAACATTAAGTTTAGATCGTTATTGGTCTATAACATCACCACTTCAATATCTTGGTAAACGAACGCGAACACGAGCTTTATTATTAATTGGTTTTGCTTGGGGTTTATCTCTTCTATGGATTATACCAATATTTGGTTGGCATCATTTTAATAATGGCATACGTCAAATTGAAGTATAAATTGATTTAAAATTCTTCTTTTTTAAATATAATATTTAATCTTTTTTGTTAGGATGGTAAATGTGAACCTGAGTATACACATTCAAAAGTATTTAAAGTATCTACAGCTATTATTAATTTCTATCTACCACTTCTTGTCTTAATATCATTAAATGGTCGTATTTATTATGAAATAAAACGTCGTTATAGAAGTGTTCTTTTACAAAGACATTCAAATAAATTAAATGAATCAATAACTACGACGAATAACAATAATAATCATAATCATAGTTTATATACTCGTAAATTAAATCAAACAAGTAATCATTCACGTTCACCAGTAACAGTAACATTATGCGATAGTGATCGACAATTATGTTCATCAACAATACATTATACAGAAAATGATAGTTTAGTTATACCAAAATCTCCAGTACTTAATAATGAATCAGTTTTACGTATTAATTTTAAAGCAAAAAAATTTCGTCCTGCTGTATCGAAACAACTTTCTGGTGATCGAAAATTATCATTAAAACGTGCTTATTCATATATTGATAACAATCATTGTACACAAGTAATTTATATATATATATATACATTTAAAAATATTTTCTTTTCTTTTTTTATAAATTAGGATGAATTAACATGGTTTGCACATCGTCGTGATCATTGTCATAATTCCTTTACACAAACATCACCGATAATTTTATCAACATTTAAATATAATTCACCTATTTCTCATCGTAATCATACAAATGAATGTTCTTCAAAACATACAAATGATCATAAATCAAATAAAATCTATTCAAATAAACAAAAAATTAAACGTAATTTATCTAATCCATCATTAAGTTATAAAAATTCTTGTTATCAAACATCATATCACAATACAACAGTACCATGTCATCGTTGTTCATTATTAGATTCATTAAAATTATCATCATCAACACCACCAACAACAATGAATATATTTAATTTATGTCATTGTTGTTCAGCAGCAACATCAGCAATTACAATACATTCCAATCATTTTGTAAATAGTAATGCAACTTCAAATAGTGAATCATATAAAACAGCACGAAGATTATCATCATCATCGTCATCATCAATTGCTCCATCATTGATCAATCGAAAACAACCATTACCTATATTATCTTATAGTAAAACAAAAAATACAGTTACAACAAATTCTATAACACGTTCAAATTCTCAAAGTTCACCTTATCTATTAACAAATAAAGTTAAACAAGCAACTGTATGGAATCAACAAGAAAAAGCATTTCGACAATTATTTGCAATTGTATTTGGTTTTACATGTTGTTTTCTACCATATTTTATTATATATATGGTTGTTGCTTTTTGTGGTTCATGTGTATCAGAACGAGTTGTAACAGCAACTATTTGGCTTGGTTATGTTAATTCAACAATTAATCCATTTTTATATGCATTATCAAATAAACATTTTCGAAGAACATTCAATCGATTATTAAAAAGAGATAATCGACGACAAATCTTTTATAATTAATAAACCAGTGAAAAGAATTATTAGTATTTTGTTTTAATAAATAAAAATTCTATTTTTATATTGATCTAATTGTTTGTCTAATAAAAAAAATCGTATTTTCCAAGAAAAATTACGACTATGTCTATTAATAAGAAAATTAGGTTAGTTTAAGTTAATTTTTATCTTTTACGTCGATAAATATTATTCTTTATTAAAATAATAAGAGTATTATACGAAACAGAAAATGTCATGTTCACAATTAATAAGGATAGAAAAATAAGTCAGCGTATGGATATTTATTATTAATGAAACAGAAGATGATGTGACTATGATTGTGATACAATAACTCCTCTAGAGGTTATCCAATGCAGAAAAAATAAAACCAAAAATATGCGTGTTGTCATAATAAAAAAACAGATTTGATTTACATGCAATTGAATAATATAAATGAATACTATCAAGTGCAAATGGACGCACAACAAATGTGTGACGATTACTTAGAACGAATGTTTAGAGATGTACTATGACGAAGAATAGAATGCTAAGTGCATAAATATAGATAATTGGGTTCAATGGGTCAAGATTTATTCTATAGATAATAGAGTTTTAGATTAATTTTTAAATTTAAAATCTTATATAATCCTTTTGACATGTTACTTTCATTAAAAACCAAGAAATATTAGATCAACGATCTCACAAGTATAAATATCTTCTTTTTATGAACGTAGTATCAAGTGTGATCTAATAATTTCGCACTGGAAATACTTTTATCTCTCGTCGATAAATATATAATGATTTTTTTCATATCACTTTTTATTATTTATCATGTGTTACATATAAATATAATGAGTGCACATCTATTATGTATGATAAATTCGTATCACAGTTCAACGTTTTTGTTTAAAATGACTCAAGGACAATTTTTAATTGAATAATAAATTTTTTTTCACGTGATTAACTGTATATAGTAAATATTTTCAATTTAATTTGATTGTCTATAATTTATTCTATATAAATAACATTATTAACAAAATTGTATAATTACAAGAAGAAGAAGAAAACAAATAAGAGAAAATTGAATATTTTATTTCCAAATATATAGATACCAATTATCCATTCGCCATTTAACTTTAATCCATTGTGAAGATAAAAGTATGGGTTCAAGATCTTGTTTTATTTGATCTGATAATGTTTGACATATACAAATTTTAATTGATATTAAATTATTTTTATAATTAGGTGATAATAATATATTTAGAATTTCACGACATTCATCACTTGTTGTAACATTCATTTGTAAATGTTCTAATTCAGGTATTAAATATTGTATTAAATATTGAATTTCTTTCCATGATACACATTCACTAATAAGAGAAAGAATTTTAATATTTGTTAAAGAAAAATAAGGACGTAGTTGTGACCAAGCTATATCAAGTGAATGAAGAGACATTAAAGAAAATAATTGATTAAAATGAAATAATGTTGTTTGAGTATTAATTATTAAATGACGAATTGATGAGAGACTAACAAGTGATGAAAGAAGAGTTGGTGATATAATATAATTACTAGATTCATTATTTGATATTAATGTTAAATATTTAACATGACGACAAAGAGGAAAATTTGGTGTAATTGAACATTCAGATAGATTAATTCGAACACGTTCAACACGATCATAAATTTCTAAAAGAACGTAAATTAGAATAGAAAATAAGGTTCTATATTTTATTTTTAACAATAATAATTACAATATATATCGAGGTCCTAGACATAGTCATTTATAAATAGTATTCACGAAAACGTAATTAGGAAGAATTAGTAAACATACTACTGATTATCATAAGTATGTTTAGAGATCTTTGTTTTTAGTTTTCAAAACATTTTATAATGAGTAAATTAGCTTTGACATTTATTAAAAAGAGAACTTCAGAAGTATTTCATGCTGAAGAGTAAGTGTTTTTTTCTTTTTATAAAATAAAATGTTAGTAAGGTTGATATGACATATATGCTAAGTTAACAAAGTATACTGATTGAGCATGAATTGAAATACATGTTTAACTGACATTTAACAGAAAAACAAATAACTAAGTATTTTCTCAACAAAATACTTTAAAATTGTAGTTAATAATAGAATAAACGTCGAAAATTTTATACAAAGAAATATCTATGCGCGATGAATTTAAGTGTTAATTTTCTATACAAGGGTTTTGAACTACATGCATTTAATATTGATTTCTCTATCTTCTCTTGGAAACGATAGTTTTCTGAAATTCTTTAAGAAAAAAATGACATGCATAGCCTTTTTACAGTGGCGGATTTAGGGAAGCAATCGCCCCCATCACTCCCCCCTCCCTTCAGAAATGTTTTTCGATTTTTTACAGCAAAACTGAAAGAAAAAATAGACTCATACTACTTTGATTGGATTCAAAAAATAGTTTTCAGCCAAAATCGCCCCCCCCCCCTCCTCAGGTATCGCCCCGCCCCTTCCAAAATCCTAGATCCCCTCCTGCCTTTTTATTTACCATTATCATTTGGATTATGTACTGTATTCCATAGTACAAATGGTAATTGCAGCATTTTATCTGGATATGGTATAGTATGTATAGTTAATGATCGACGTGAATTTTTATTACTAGTTGCTTCTTGTATAGCAGTGACAAGATCATTATTAAAACTATATTGTGTAATATCAGTATTGATAGATAAACCTTTTTGAATAAATTGAATATGTTTAAGTTTACAAGATAATTTTATTAAATGATTCATATCGTCATTTGATTTTCCATAAGAATGATAAATTAATGATTGTATTTGAGATAGATGAGAAAGTAATTGGGTATCAAGCATAACTAAACTAATTCCACTACCTTGTAGGTCAATATTTAGATGAGTTAATGGAGATGATAATATTACAGGAAATTGATTTGTTGATAATTGAGTATAGATACGAGCTAAAAATAATTTTATTTATTATTAAATAAAAAGTATCAGTAAAATCTTCTTACTTTTAAGTTTAGTTAAACATGGTAAAGCTTGAAGTAAAACTAATAAATCATTTGGAAAACTTTTAATAGCCATATGAAGTATCTCGATAGTTGTTGATGATATATGAGAACATGTTTTACTATCAAATGCATAACCACCAATAAGATAACATTGTTTTAATGATGTTGATTGTAATGCAATTTGATAAAATTTAGCTGCATATTTAGCTTTTTTATGAAATTTAATATATAATTTTTCAAGATTAGGTGGTAGACAATCAATTTCATTTCCAATAATATCATCCAAATGTAATGAACGTAATCGAATAAAATTTTTCGAATGAAAAAAATTCGATGTAAAAAATTCTGATATTAATAAACCATGTGAATATTGATTCGTTAAACGAAGAAAAATAATTTGTGATGGCGAACAATATGTTAAAATATGGTAAAAACGATAAAATGATGTATAAGTTAAATCAAGAGAAAAATCAATATGAGATATTATATATGATAGACGAGTATTTGATAATGGAATAAATGATATATAAAGATCTGATGGGTGAAGATAAGAAAATATTTCAAATAATAATTCTGATGGCAGATCTTCAAATAACATTAGATCTGTAATTAAAGAATAAATATTGAATAATGAAAAAAATTCTTATTTACGACTATAGAATTAGTTAAGATTATAAACAGATTGTTTGAAGCATATATCTAATAAACTCTATAATATTTTAACTTGAACGGGACAAAGACATTTCGCACTAGGTATTCCAAACTACCGGACATATGACTGGGTGTCTGGAAATGATTTTTTTCCTAAACAAATTTCATTACGAACATCTGCTACAGGGAATCGTAATGAAAAGTTGATGTGGAATGTCTCATTCCCAACAAATACTTGGAGGAATTAATAAGCGTCAGATTTTCTAATCATACTGATACTTAATAGAATTAGTCTCCTACTGGATTAAAGTTATCCATTTAAAAATGTTAGTTTTTCGCATAGTTGTATTCGATTAATATTAGGATTACCTAGTACAATCTAAATCTAATCAATAATGATATATATGATAAAATTCTTTTATATCACTATTGTTTTATATGACTTATTACCGTATAATATATAAAGAAAATAAGATAAATATTATCAAAAACAATCTGAAAACATAAAATATTAAGATTTTTCTTCTGATTTCTCTTGACTTGTTTTTTTTATTATCATCAAAAACAAAATAAGACTTCTAAACATTCTAAATAAGTAAGAGAAAAATCTTTTATAATACAAAAAAATATAATAATGTTGTTGTTGTTATTCTTGTTTTTGCTGCTGTTCATATTCACTTGGTTGCCAATGATTAAGTCCACTTATAGTCCAACTATCATCTTTTGCATTTTTACTCATATCACGTAAAAATTTATAATTGCAAACAATAATATTATCGCGCATTTTTTTAACTGCTGATGTCCAATTTGATGCAACATTACCTGTAGCATTAAGCATTTCTTGTCGATATGCATCACGATCTTTTAAAATATGAAATATCATTGTTATTTCAACTAAACGATTATCTAAATAATAATTTAAAATATTAATAATTAAATTTTTTAAGAAAAGAATATTTTACTTGTTTGATCATCCATAATAATACCAATTAAATATGGATAAGTAAAAACAATTTCGGATTCATCAATAGCAATCTTTTGTTTTTGTTCAGATGATAATTTTTCATAATTTTGTTTTACTTCATTGATAACCTAGTTTGTTGGTTATCATTATCATATTTTGTTTATTTAAAATAAAGTGTTTTTTGTCTACCTCTCGTGTTACAAATCCAGAAAGATCATCAAATTGACCATTACTAATAAGATGTGAAACAACTGTTATCGCTTGTCGAGCACCTTCAGAAAATGGTTTTATAGCAAATGTTTGATCAAAATATCCACTAATAATCATTCGAGAAAAGAAATTTTTTATTGTCAAAAATAAATTGGGATAAACTATACGAGGAAGATCCATTAACATCATTGGATGATGATTAGAAGAAGTAGAACGTACATAATTCGAAGACAACAGTTTAGATGAATAATTGAAAAGAGTTGTAGAAATTGGTCGTAATGAACGACTAATAATGAAAGCCATCTAAAAGAAAACCAATTTTTTTTCCAAAACAATGTTCTACTATAGATATAGTTTGTTTTATTTATTTATTCATTCCAAAAGAAAAGATTCAGTTGTTCATAAATGAAATGTCAAAGAATGATTTCTTTCATACGTATGAATTTACTTGTAAATAATCGATTATACACTTTTTTTCAATAAATAATGTAGTTATGAAAAAAAGTAAAGTTAGTTAGTACATTGATAGGGTCATGGTAATTGGATGAAATCGAAACCGAAGAACGAAGAAGACTAATAAACTGATTGGCTTCTGTATTCCATATACCTTGTACATTTAAAATACTATTGATTCTGAAAGATGTCACCATCATCAGAGCCTACGCGAAGGGTCTAAGATTGGAGGAGCACAGCGGGGGTTTGAAAGAGTGTAAAAATTCTTGGAGGGATGTAGTAGGGTATTTAGAGCAAAATTTGTTCCAAGTCAGCTCCCATCGCCAAAAAGAAAACAAAATTTTCCAATTATAAAGGGGGTGTACACTACCCCGCTCGTCCGGGTCCTGGCCATCATATAATATATTCTAAATATTTTGATTGAAAACTGCATAATCATCGGTTTATTAGCTTCGTGATAATTACTACATTGATGAAATTCGTTTATAAAAAATACAGCGATAACTCGATCTGTCACAGTTACAACTACGCTGTCTAAAAAAAACGATAAATATATTTATCAAATTTAAAATTCAGCTATACAATCATCGCTACCATTAAATTCATTTAAATTTCGAAATAAGATTGATAAAGATCAACCAGTAATAAATAAACCTGCTAGAATCTTGAATTATTTTTGTTAATTTAGATCGACCAGAAATAGTTTTTGATTGAAGTATTTTTTCAATTTTGACTGAACCCACCCAGGTCGATGAAAAATCAATAAATGTTATATTTTATTGATTCATTTGATAGAGAACTTGTGTGCTTATAGACACAATTGGTTTTTAATATTATCAATTAAATATGATATATTTACGTATAAGTTTCATAGTTTAGACTCTTATTATAATTGTATTTATTAAAAGTAGAGGTAAGTGATTATTAATAATTAAAACGTTTTAAAAAATATTTTATTAGTTCTTTATAATGGAACATGTGGTCCTAATGAACAATATGAAGACTGTGGTATAGAATGTCAACGAACATGTGCTGATATTCAAATACCTCAAAAGCAATGTCATCAAATGTGTGTTATTGGTTGTTTTTGTATTAATGGTTATGTACGACAACATGATGAGAATAGTCTATGTATACAAGAAATTGAATGTTAAATTTTTTCTTGTAAATTATTTCAAATATGATTTTATAATAATATAAAAATTAGAATAGACAAAATCAATAAGATATTTTATATAATTGATTATTAGAAGACGAGAACTTGTTTTTAATCATTACTCTTGATTTAGATGGAGATGTTAACGATAGAAAATTAAATCTGATCAATTTGTTGTATAAAAATCAAATATTGACTGGAAAGACATTTTCACTTATTCATCTTCCTTTTTCCATATGTTAAAATAATCGATAAACTTTCGAATGACATTATATCGATTGATTGAATAGATAAGAAAGGATATATTGCATAAATCGTAACATTCAACTAGAAAAAAAAACTTCTATCAAAATATAAAATTAAACATCATAGCTTTTTTTCGTATAACAATGGATAAAGGTATAGTTCTTCAAACTCAATTTGCAACATCTTCCATGGATAATCTAACTATGGTTCCTATTTCATCTGGTACATCATTACAATCAGTTACTAAGAAAAAAAATCAATGTCTTACGAAATATGGCCCATTTAGTATTCTTGTTCTTCTTCTACTAACTATTCTTATTATTGTAGCAGTTATTCTTTCAAAAATTCCTTCTTATTCTACAGTACCTATTCAACCAACATCAACTATTGCTAATCAGTCATTAACAACAAATAATTCATTAGTTGACTCGATTCTACTTGAACATATGCTTATTCATCTTCGTCAATTTCAAAGTCGTGCTATTGGAACAGTTTCATTTAATAAAACTATTGATTATCTAACGGCACAATTAAATAAAGAAAGTAGTTTTATTGTTCAGAAATATTATTTTCCTGTTCCTCGTTTTGAACCTTCTAAGAATTCTATAATTATGATTTTACCAAATACATCGAATACATCAATATTTACATATCCAAAAGATTTTGTTATTATGGATCGATCTCGTGAAGCTCGGAATTGGTCAATAATCGATGGTCGACCATTGTCATATGTTGCTCGTCTAGGTTGTGATATACAAGATTGGAATATGACAAAACCCGGCGATGTAGCTTTAGTTTTACGTGGTAATTGTACATTTTATGAAAAAATATTTTTGGCAATGCGTAAAAATGTTAGTGCATTTCTTATGTATAATGATGGACTAACAAATGACCGTTTTCAACCATTAAATGGTACTCGAGCACCAAGAAATACTACTATACCAACATTATTTCTTTCATATGGAACTGGCAAGCGTCTTATTGTAGAAAATATTACTCGTATTTATTTGCGTATAGAATTTCAATCGCTTCCACCTATGATTGTAACTAACGTATGTGCAGATACGAAATCAGGAAATCCTAATCGAACTATTGTAGTTGGTAGTCATAGTGATAGTGTAGCAGCAGGTAAAATTAAATTTAATAATATAGGATAATAATATTGTGTTTGTTTTGTTAGGTCCGGGTTTAAATGATAATGGTAGCGGAATGGCAGGTACATTAGCAATTGCACTTAATTTAGCTCGATTACTTGTTTATTCAAATTATGCCAAAAATATGCATTCTCGTATAAAATTTTGTTGGTGGGGCGGAGAAGAAGCTGGTCTATTAGGTGCCAAAGATTTTGTACAAAAAGCTAAAGTTGATGGTTCTCTTGAATTATATTCTGTGAATCTAAATTTTGATATGTTAGCTTCACCAAATTTTATTTTTGGTATTTATGATGGTAAAACAGCTGATAATGTAACAACTCCACTACGTGCTCTGCCCGGTAGTAATCGATTAACAACTTTATTTAGTGATTATTTTGATCGAAATCATCTACCATGGGATCATACTGAATTTAGTGGTCGAAGTGATTATGGACCCTTTTTAGCTGAAGGTATTGCTTGCGGTGGATTATTTACCGGTGCTGATGATATTAAAAGTCAAGAACAACGAGATCGGTATTATAAACTATTAGGTTCAACATTAGCTGGAATGGTAAATACACCTCTAGATCCATGTTATCATAGCAAATGTGATACATTAGAAAATCTTAATACATTTGCTTATCTTCACATGGTTAAAGCTGCTGCTTATTCTATTGATTATCTTGCACAATTGCAAGATCTTAATCAATGGCTTTATCCTTAGATAGATTCTTTTTTTTTTGTTTAACTTTTAAATGTCGTTTTTTTTCGGTTTAAACAGATGTTTATTAAACATCTTCACTAAAAATAGCATGATACACTCATCTATTAAATCTAATTGATATTTGATGTATCGTAAAAATTTCTTTATACATTTCTTAGAATAAATTTATTTAATAATGTAGTAACCAATGAATATAATAGAAAATGTCAAATTTAAAAGTTTATATTATCATCAATTTATTAGTATAGTACCTTGAATAATAGGCAAAATATTACTAATAGTAGTCATATGAGAAGTAATCATTTATTTATGTTGTTTGATAAAATCAACAGGAGTATTCATGCGTACTCTAAAATAGTTAAACTAAAGCTAATGTATAGACATATAATTAAGTATACTTATGTTGTCAAAATATAACATAATAATGATGTTAGAAAAATATATTGATAAATCGAACAAAATTATTTTTTCTCAACTAAACAATAAAAATTATGTTAATATATTAGTAGAACTAATTCGATACCTTCGAAGATTGAATGATAAACATGCAGATATCAATTAAAGTGTATAAGGAAAGGTCTTTCGGTATTCTTTGAATAATTTCAGAGTGCAAAATTTTATTATATCACTTGAAACTTCCAGGTTAAACTATTTATCAATGGTATACTAGTTTTGATATCTCATATAATCATATAGACTATTTTCAAACATAACTTCTTACATACCATCTACGCTTCCTACTCAGTAGAATCCAAGTTTATATATATAAAAGTACATTAAATAATAATTCAAGTACTGATTAATCTACGCAGTTTTTTTTTCTTCTCATACATCATCACTTTTAAAATGCAACGAAGTTTTTATTTAATCATGACAATGTTGGTACAGATATCAAAGGTTTTCTATTTTATGCTATATCATCCAACACCTAAATGCAATTTGATATCTTATCTTTATTTTTGTGTTCGTATCATCATATATTTGCATTTAAAAGCAACGTGCATCTTTCATATTTCTCACAGTATAAAACAAAGTAAGTTCGATGAAGATTACATTCATTTCATTATCATTTATCTTTACGAATATAGAAACAAGCAACAAACACAACAATGAAAGCATTTATTGCTCTTTTCCTTGCTACTTTAGCTGTAGCTAATGGTATTGCTCATCCACGATGTGCAATGCAATTACGTGCTGCTGGCTTATCACCAGCTTTAAATGTAAGCATTGCCCATGCTATACATTCAATGACTGTTCAAGGTTTACAACTCTTCAATCCTAATGCCAATGAACATAATACAATTCCAACTGTTAATCACAATCTTCATGACAAAGAAGGAATTAAAGTTCTTATGTATGCACCAAATGATCCACTTCCAACAGATTATTTTGGCTTTACCATGAATATGATTGATAAAGTGAGTTTATTTTTATTTAAATATAAAATAAAATAGTTTACTTATTATTCATTCTATATTATTAGATTCTCGCTATGGTTGGTAAATCAGATGATGGTCTTGGTAAACATTGGTCATCAACAGAACGACTTGTTCATAAATTTCATATGTGGGATTTATGGCTTCGTCTTCAAAAAGAAGTTAGTGAACTTTCACCAAAACCATCATCAGCTGTTTGCAAATGTGTTTTGGATGTTCAATCAAACGGTGTTCTTAAAGCTGTTCAATGGATTGCAGCCCACTATGAATCTGGCACACCAATTACATTACTCGATCGTCCAGTTCCAAAATTAGTTGATTCAGTATCATGGGATTTCTGGAAAAACGATCTTCTTCATTATTATACACCTGAAGCTCTTCATGATGCAGCTGTTTATCTTCATTGTGCTACAAAAGATTTTTAAGTGAAGAAAAAAAATGTACAATTCTTTTTTCTTTTTGAATTAATAAACTACATATCCCAGTGAAAATATTTTGTTCTTATATTATTTCTACGTATACTAGTATATCTTAAACCTTCAATGCTTCATTCTTGATGATCGAAACATAGAAAGCGAGATATTTTTTTAGAAGACATAGTATAATTAAATATTGTTTATGATAACTTTATGTAATATATAATGAATATTTTTCAAAGAAATATTTATCAGTACGTAATAAAATGAAATTTATTCTTTTTATCAACGAAAAAGAACATGTGTCATCTAATGATCTATACAATTAATTGTAACTTCACTTATCGACATTTATATATCAAACAAGGTCATTGTATGTGAAGATATTTTATTTCTCATACAACATCTTGTATACATTATCATTGATCGGACATGGGAAAAAAAGAGATAGAGAGAAGAAAAGAGACGAAGAATATGCTCTGACCATTTATATGTAAATGTTATACTTATTATTGTTCCGGTCGAATGATTCTACCCTTTCACATACGTTCACTCTCTTTTTTTTCTCTTTTCGCTCCTCGTTCTGCTGAATCAATCAAGCAACACAGACAAATTTATTCACATAGGAAGATACAGATAGAAATATTTCACCGAATCAACAACAAAAACACTTCATCATTCTAGATTAACACTATGGAGGCCAGCCAATAACATTGACTAAAGGTTGTCTTGTGTCAGAAGTAAAACAATTATGCCTGATGTACACTTCGAAATCATCGGTTTAGATGATATTGGTAAAGATGTTGTTAAAATCTCACCAACAAAAAAACTTATTCATCGCTCAAGTTGTAAATTAACTGATGCTGATGTTGAAAATCTTAAACATTATCTTAATCGTTACAATCAACCATGTTCAAAATCAATAGTTAATAAAAAAACTATTCAAGAAATTTCATCCCCAGATTTAACTAAAATCTTTAGTAATTCATTTACACATCGTCATCAACAACAAGATTATGTTGATATTACAGATGATTTTTATTCGGATAAATTTTCTACTGAACGTGTTAAACCATCTGAACATTCTCAACCATTAGCTGATATTTATCGATATCATCATCATTATCGACGACATCATCATCATCATACGAAACCAGCTCATGAAAAACCAGCAACATCTATAGCCACTAATGATAAACAAGCACTTTCTCTTGAATTTGCAACATGTGGTATGAAAAAAAATACACGATTACCAGTACCAAATGAAAATTTTTCTTTAACTAATGGATGTTTTGGAGACGATGCTGGATTTACAATACGATCTAAAAAACAAAATTTTCTAGGTAATTTTCTTTTCATTTTGAAAAATTAATACGAACTTTTTAATTTCATTTTAGGAATTTCTGATGGTGCCGGTGGTAATTTAATGTACGGTTTTGATCCTCGTCTATTCTCTGAATCATTAATGCGTAATTGCTCAAAATTAGCCGACTCAGGAAAATATTTAGCTGAAGAACCCAAACGTCTTCTATGTCATGCATTTGATTGTGTTCAAACTGAAAATTGCTTTGGTAATATATCTTTTTTTTCTAATTGATGATACATTTAAAAAAATTTTGTTCCTCTCGAAACTAATTTAGGTAGTGCTACAGCCTGTGTTGTTGGTTTTGATTGTCATACAGGTCAACTTCATTCAGTAAATATTGGTGATTCAGGTTACGTTATTATTCGAAAAGGTCATGTTGTTTATCGATCACGTTCACAAAAAATGAATGGTGATTGTCCAAGACAATTGGATGTTTATCCCTGGACAGCATCATTAAAAAAGAAAGGTCTCAATTATACTCAAATATCGTAAGTTTTTTTCCTTGTAATATGACATTATAACTATTATCATATAAGAAATTTTTCTAATTTCTTCGTTTGAACCTTCAATATGTCACAATCATAGATAGACAACAAGGCTCTAAAAATATTCTTTCCTTGAAATATACCATAGATATATCATCTTATAGTCATTTATTATCATTGATTTTTATTTAGGAGTCTTGATGCTATTTGTCAAAATTTTCAATTAGAATTAGATGATATAATTATTCTGTCTACAGATGGTCTATTTGACAATGTACCTGATCGATTAATTGAAAGAATGATATCTAAAGTACATATATGTAGTTTTGATTTTTAATTGATATTAAATATTGTTTTTGTTTCATTTTAGAATCATTCATTAAAACATGTAGCTAATGATTTAGTTAATCATGCTGTTCGTTTTTATGTTAAACCAGATGATATTCTTGTAATTATGGCACGAGTAATAGCAAATAATGATAAGAAATAAAAAAAAATATGAATAATATATATGTATATCTTTAAAAGACGTTAAGAAAATAATGAGAAGAAAATATTTTACAACAATGAAATTATATATAAATGTAAGATTAACTATTCTTCTCTACTTCTTCGACAATGATAGAAAACAAGCAAAATGAGAACATTTTATAGACATTTAAGCTGCTTTTTTTATCTGTTTTATTATCTAGTTGAAATTATTTGTTTTACATTTTATCATTAATAAATATAGAATATATACCATTTTAAAAGTTATATTTCAATCTATTGATTTGTTTTCAAACAATTATCTTCTTTATAAAAAAAAATATATATGTAAATGATCAAAAGATATTATTTATAAAGGTCCTTCAGATGACCTTTTATAAATTCTGATTGATTTATCTACTGCAGTATAACTATAAAAAATAGTAAACAGTTACATTTATATTTTCCTGGTAGATTTTTTCTTACTTTAATTAAAATATAAAAAATTGTGCAAAAAAAAAAAGAAGTGTTTAATTATTTGTGCCTCTTATATGTTATTAAAATGTAAGTATACGAAAGGAAAAAACTTGTTCAAAACCATTTAAATTGCTAAAAATGATTATGAATATTCCAGAAGATTTTCTTCGCTTGAATATACTATTAAAATTGAAGTGCTGATGGATATTATTAGTATAAAAGATTCTTTCCTCTTTTTAAATTAAACTACGATAGGTTTTGAAATCGAGGTTTACAACTCGGGCCTGTCTCGCAGGCCTCTAATTTAAACTCATATCAATCATTCTATTAATAAAAAACAGAGTAATTATCAATAAACCACGAATTATTCATATAAATCTTGTTCATTATATTTTTCTTTTCATTATTGTCAAAAAAATTGCTCTCTATTTTAATGATCGAAGTTACTTTTATGTATTCACACAATTATTATTTTTAAAGCTTTACATATGTATACCTCTGGAAAAAGAAATAGTTTCAGTCGATATTTCAAATATTTTGGCAATATAAAAGCACATGGGCTTTTTAAACATTTTGTATATATATAATAGCTTATACTTATATTGAAATAAATTGAATGTAATGTGGACACTCTCATGATTAGATTTCCAAACACATCGTTTTGTCAGCGTCTACAAAATAAGGTTTTCATTAGTGATAGCGCTTGAAATTCTCTATCGTTTTGAAAAGATGTCAGTTTTCTTGCATTTATTTATTAAAAAAATTATTGAAACACAATCAAGGCATTCTCAATCGACAGTTGAATCATTATTTAGCATATAAATATATGATACGACAAAAATATATAGAATGGCAGAGAATTTAAAGCACTATCAGAATGTGTAATTACTTTCATATAAAAAATGTTTCTTTTGTATCTTTAATTTAAAAGAACAAATAATACACCGCAAGTTTACATTTGTCGAGTGAGGATATTCTCATTCTGTTTCAGTTATTTTATTAATAAATAATTGCAAGCAAGCAGACATATTTCCAAGGAGATAATACAGTGCATCTAGACCTAATAATTTCTTAGATGGTATATGTTGTTCATTTGAATTAAACATCATTTTACTGTAACACTGACAAAACAGTATGTTAAATTTATAACATTAGTATTGTTTGGATTATATTTATCTACAAATAAATACTTTGATTCAATTATTATCAATGCTTATATATTCATAATAATTTTCGTATTTATTTTTCAAGGAACCTGATACATCTCTACGCTTTCTTTTCTTTACAATAAACTAAAAAATATATTCAGTTTTAAAGAGAATGAAAAATCACAGATTCCTTATGAAAAACATAATTTCATCAAATGAATAGGTAAGACAGCATGGTCGAAAGAAAATCATTTCAAGTTTTAAGTACAACTAATCAATTTTCTTCATACTTGCTAAACAAATATTGCCACAAAAGTAGACTCGACCTTGCATCGAATCAAGCTCGAATAAAAAAAGTAACTGAGTGCACACATAAAAATTACTTCTGAAATTCTGAAATGACAGTTTTTATTACCGTGGTAACTTTGTGTATGGTAGTATGTAATAACTGTGAATTGACTACTGTTATTTTGACACTTACAAAGAATGAGTAATAATAATTTTAAATGATCTGATATTTTATTATCGTTACTGATATATTATCTACATAAGCTTTATGGATTTTTTTGCAATATTAGAGACTAATATATAGTGAAATTCAATTTATACCAAACAGTATAACACTGAAAATTGTTGTCAATGATGTCAAAAAAACCGATAAATATATTGATCTATATAAATATTTTATTGGACCTGGTGAATTTGGTGCAAATGCAGAATAAATATTTTCTATCCCTGAATTAATGCCTAAAATATCAGCACGTACTAATATGGAAATAATCAGCTATTAATTTCTATTTAGTTAGTCACCTTAATGCACTGAAAGAAATTTCCTTCGATTCTATCAAACTAAGGGAAGAAATAAAAAAATATAGTTTCTCTCTCTCTCGTAATACATTTTTAAAGTGTTTTGACATCATTAAGTTGAGTACAGTGTGAAACTACCGAGAAAAAAAATCACTCTTTATACTTGTATAGATATCATTACTCGGTCATTTTTCGGATGTTTTCCTATTTTTTTCTTCAGACGGGCACAACGGATAGTGGTCTACACGTCTAAAAAAGGTAGTTAAGAGTTTTAAAAAATAATCGAGTTATGACAGGTACACGTGCAAGTAGTGTTGTTTTTTGTCTGCAGTTTCTCCACGCTACTATACTCATTGCCTTAGTAGTTTTTTCACTTACATAGTTGTTC